CCTCTGATGCTGCTTGGCCTGCTGTGTTCATCCAGCTCTACACATTTATATCTGCTGCCCTTGTCCTTGTAGATGCTAGAGGTTGGGAGTCTGGAAGATGCTCCATAGGTGTCTTGGTGAATTTTTGCAGTGCATCTTCCAGATGCACACCATTGCTACACAGCATCAGTGATGAAGGGAGCGAATGTTTGTGGATGTGGTACCAAGTATCCTTTGTCCTGATTGTTCTCAAGCTTCTTGAAAGTTGCATGAATTGCACTCATCTGACATGCAACTGTTTTATCCATGTTTGAATCAAAATTGCCATGAGGTCAGAAGCTTAGTGTCCCTGCGCAGTCCAAGTTGAGCATCACTGAGCAGCTTATTGTTAAAGAAGTGCAGCTTGATAGCACTGTTGATGACACCTTCCATCACTTTATTAATGATCAAAAGTAGACTAATGGGGCAGTAATTGTCAGATTGGATTAGTCCTGCATTTTGTGTAAAGATCATACCTGAGCAATTTTCCACATTGTCAGGTAAAAACCAGTGTTGCAGCTGTACTTGAAAAAAATGAACAAGTTTGTTGCCATGCTAGCCTGAACAAAAATAACAAAGATGTGAAATCAAGCAAGTTGCCTTTGAGCAGTAACACACAGGCACAGAGATAAAAGGGAATAGTGTCCCGTATGAAAAAGATGAAGGTGTGTATTATTTAGAGTCCTTGAGATAAAAGATTTTAACCTGCTGAAGGTTCAAGAACCCAACTAACCAGTGGTAATTGCTGCATTTATCTTTTAAATTCTTGGTTTCATGATGTTTCTTTCCCTTTAGTGCTTTTAATCTGCTATTTTTTTCTTCTTGAGAAGCAGAGAAAAAGCATTATTCAGCTTGTGCTCAATTCTACTATCTATAATCCATCATCTCTATTCTATCACAATGGAGCTTCTTAAAATAGCAACTTTTTATATGCTGTCTGGTCATTTAATTATGTCCAGGCTTGATAATCGCAGGTGATGTTTTCATTTCCAAATTTGCAGTTTCTCATAATAGTGTAAATCAAAATAGGAAGTGAGGGCTTTTCTAGACATAGTATGGATGTCAGGGATAGTAAGAACTGCCGATGCTGGAGTCAGAGATAACAGTGTGGAGCTGGAGGAGCACAGCAGGCCAGGTAGCATCAGAGGAGCAGGAAAGTTGACGTTTTGAGTCAGGACCTTTCTCCAGAAGTGGGCCTCATTTCTGAAGAAGGGTCCCGACCCGAAACGTCAACTTTCCTGCTCCTCTGATGCTGCCTGGCCTGCTGTGCTCCTCCAGCTCCACACTGTTATCTATGGGTGTCAGGTGTATTTTAGTGGTCTTGAGTAAAATACTAAGTTTAGCTCAGACTGGTTTTAATTTAATCCATGTTGGTTTAATCAAACATAACCAAACTATGTGGTCAGCTGATGCCTGTGATCACTTTAAGTCAGTGTTATGAAGCCCTTTTTAAAGCCATTTCAGTCATGAAAGTCCCAAGTATAATTCAAATATTAATATTTCATATTTTCTTTCATCATGACAATAGTCTTTGGCAAATGCATTTGGTAAGTATCAGTGATCAATATGGTGGTTATTTTTTTGTAGTAATTTTAGCCATTTGCTATTTGGATCATGAACAATAAGCAAATAACAGCTATAAAAATGAAAAGAAGTGTTGGAAGTAATCAGCAGGTCATCTGTGAATATGGGAGCAGGTGTAGGCCATTTAGCTGATTGAGATTGCTCTGCCATTCTGTAAGAACCTGGTTGATCTTCTAATGATCTCAACTTCACATTCCTGTACACCCCCATAACCTGGACTTTCTTGTCTATCAAAATTCTATCTACCTCAGCTTTAAATTAATTCAATAACCTAAACTTTACTTTTTTTGAATAAGAGAATAAGACCCTGTGACAGGAAAAGATTCTCTTCATATCTATCTTTAAAGACAGATTTTTTTATTCTTCACCTGTAACCCTTAGTTCTATTCTCCACCACAAGAGGAGGTATCCTCCTGATATTCATCCGATCAAGTATCATCCCAACCAGATCTTGGGCAATAAAGCTCTTCATCCCAGGAATGAGTTGAGTAAATCTTCCTAAGCTGTTTCTATTTCGTCCTTTTTCAAAAAAAGACCAAAGCTGTACATGGTGGTCAAGACTTGATCTTATTAAAGTCCTGTACAGCTGTAGTAAAACTTCCCTATTTTTGTATTCCATTCCCCTTGCAATAGTCACAAATAATCCATTTCTCATCCTAATCACGTGCTGTACT